TATATATATATATATATGTAATATTACTATATATATATATATATTATATATATATATATATATATGTGTGTGTGTGTGTGTGTATGTATATATATATTTATATAAATCTATATATATTTATATATATATAATAATAATTTTCTTTCCGAATCCTTACTTTGATAGTTTATATATGTATTTGTTTCCTGTGCTGACTTTGAGTTGATGCCGGTACGAAGGAATCGAGAGCTATATCTATTTGCTTATTACAGTGCATATATTGATATATATTTGCGAGTCCTCACATATTCAATCGTTTTCGTGGTCTATCTACAGAATTCCAATTTGGTTCTGCAAGCCGATCGTTCGCTGATCACAAAGATTGGCCGCGATGAGGCAACGGGAGAAGTCATGTCTCTCAGAGGCAAACTGACTGGTATGAAAATGGGGGATATGGCAAAGAGAGACAAGGCACCGTCTCAGGCCGATAGAGATGCAAAGTAAGTGGGTTTGAATATGTACTCACGTGTGGAACGTTATTCATATATGTATATTGAAATATATCTTTATATTTATATTTATAGCAGTTTTTATGTATTGTATATGTTTGTCTACATGTATATATATATGTGTGTGTGTATATGTGTATACTTATGACAGTTTTTATGTATTATATATGTTTGTCTATATATATATATATATTATTATATATCTATATATATTATTATATATTTATATATATTATTATTATATATGAAGGTATGTATGCATGTTGGAATAATTCAAAAGTAATGTGACTGGTATGGAACTGAGTGGTATGACAAAGAAGATCCAGATACCCGTTCAAGTGGACAGAGGTGCATATATTGGACAACTTGCATGTCTATATGCAGACATAGATATACATATATGTATATATCGTTTCTGTATGTATATATATATAAATGAAAGTGTGTTTGCTGACCATCATGTATCTGCGCACTATGTCCAATTAACACGAAAGCCGATTTGTACGTGTGTACGTGTTTTTGAGTGGATCATTCGAAGACTCGAAACCCGCCAAAGTTTCTATTCGTGTCTGTCTCAATTATGTTCATGTAGGGTATGAGCTTCATCCATGACACGGATATCCCTTGTATATACCTGCGAGTGTTTCTGGAACAAAAAAACTCGTATCTTGTATATGAGCTATGTTTGAGTTAGTCTGTTCTCATTCTGACAAGTTGTGCCTGATTCACCCCTCAATTCACCAATTCAGGCGCGAGAAAAAGGCCCAACCCAAAAAACCGGAGAAACTCAAAAGCACGCGGTTATTGGACAAGGACGACTTTGTGGGACTCACGTACCGACCCAAAACCAGAGACACCATGGCCACGTACGAACTTATGCTGACCATCATATCCAATCAATTGGGAGACCAGCCCCGAGATGTCATCTGTGGTGCAGCTGACGAGGTTCTCATTGCCTTGAAGGAGGAGGGTAGCAAGGTAGGCATTGAGGGTGGCTTATGTGTGTCTGGTAGATATTTGTGTGTCATACACATGTATGGTTTATATGTGTGTCGTGATTTGGTGAGGTTTGTGTCCATCTGGCCTTTGGGCCTATCTATGTGTCTGTTGGGCCTACACTGGGATAACGTTTCCGGTGTTAAATGACATCCACACTGTTTTAAAGTAGCAGGGTTATCAAGGTGTCCTATACATACGTTATTTGTAGATATATCTATTTATATTTTTTATTTATTTATATTTTTATATTATATATATATGTATATATACATATATATATACCTACAAAGTCATGTATATGAAATGTATATATGAATACGCACTACGTATATATACACTATATATATATGTATATATATATATATATATATATACTTACTTATATATATATATATCTATATATATTAAATATATATATGGTCATTTATAGACATATACATATAGAGGGCTATAGGATCTCAAATCACACTCTCATACACAGGACACAGAGAAGAAGAAAGAATCCGAGTCGATGCTGGGGCCCATCAGTGACTCCACGTTTCATCAACTCATCACACTTTGCAAAAAGATCACAGACTTTACGGCCGACGACAACGAGGATGCCGGTAAGTGTGCACATGCCCGCGCTCTTTTTTTCGATTGTATGCTGACAATTTTTAATATTACAAACACGCACACACACATATATATATATATATATATGTGTGTGTGTGTGTAAATACAAACGTGCACATGCTGTCTCGTGATGTCGTGGTATCACACACTTATATATCCGTTCCGCTGTTATACATGTCAGTTTGTGTTTACCCTCCGTCAGGGGTTGCCATTCTTGTCGATTTCTATTTGTTCACATAATTTTAATATATTTCTGGCCCTATAGCACACCTTGTTTATATATATATATGCGTTAAGGTATGTTTGTACAAAGAATTATTTACAACAGTATATACCTCGCCCTGATGTTGTTGTACTATGGATCTTCTCAGGGGCTGGCATTGATGATGAGGTGGGTGTTGCCGTCGACTTTGGCGATTCCGAAGAGTCTGATGACGACGACGTGAACGAGATCAAAGAAGACGAATCAGCCAGTGAAAATGAAGGAGAAGAGGTGTGTCCACACGTGTTACATATATATATATATATATATAGTATATATATACATCTGTATGTTATATATATACACATACATACATACATATATATATATATCAGCCAGCAAGAATGAAGGAGAAGATGTGTGTCTATGCTGCCATCCACCAATTGTCACCAGTGCTGAGACTACAGATGACCTCCTCCATGAGATCGTATCCAATCTTCTACGTCTTGTCATCCCCGTATCTCATAGTCTCACGAACACACACGCAAGTTATATCGCGCATTCAATCATATTGATGTTCACTGATCATTCAACCATATTGAACCCCACTAATCATTCAATCGTATGAACATTCACTCATCTCATCATACAATTATATTGATATTCACTTACCTTACAATTATATTAACGTTCACTCATCTCATCATAACATTTATATTAATATTACAATTATATTAATATTCACTTACCTTACAATTATATTAATATTCACGCACCTTACAATTATATTAATATTCACGTACCTTACAAGTATATTAACGTTCACTCATTTCATCATAACATTTATATTAATATTCATTTACCTTACAATTGTATTAATATTCACGCACGTTACAATTATATTTATATTCACCTACTTTACAATTATATCATTCTTTACTGATCATACAATCATCCCAACATTCACTTATCATAGTCATATTTGCATTCACTTACCATTCAATCATATTAACATCCACTTATAAACTGATCATATCATAAGCTCCATTCACTTACCATTTTATTACCAAATACTATCAGGCTGCGGTTGGTGATGAGCTCCAGAACGCCGACGACGCCGCTAGAGGCGCAGAGAGCAGTGAATGGTACAAACAACCAGACGCCGTGGATCCCAGAGACATCGATGCATACTGGCTGCAAAGACAGCTGGCAAGATTCTACGATGATGCTATTACTTCACAGAAGATGTCTAAGGATGTGCTTGGTAGGTGAATTTGTAGTGTGTATGTGTGTATTGATTGCTGAGTGTTTATATATATATATATATATTTGTGTGTGAGTGTGTATATATGTATATATATTGTGATATCGTGATATTGCGATATTGTGATATTGGCTGGATGACAGTAGGCAAATTTCTATGATGATGCTGATACTTGGTGGAGAATGTCCAAGGAAGTGCGGCGTAAGTGTAGTCAGTTTGGTAGGTGAATTTGTAGTGTGTATGTGTGTATTGATTGGTGAGTGTTTATATATATATATATATATTTGTGTATATATATATATTGTGATATTGTGATATTGACACATATTGGCTGGGTGACAGTAGGCAAGTTTCTATGATGATGCTGATACTTGGTGGAGAATGTCCAAGGAAGTGCGGCGTAAGTGTAGTCAGTTTGGTACATTCTCATACGACATCAATTGTATATATTTTGGGCGGTGCTCTGGTTTGTGTCGTTGCTGGGGTGATGTACGCTGTCCTTGTTGTGTGTAGTAGTAATATATGGCCGGAGTTCCATACAGCATTGCATGTGCATGTGTTGGCTGCTACATGCCTACAATTCTATTCTCTGTGTACCCAGGATTCGTATCACAGTACATAAACATTCAAGATCGCACAACCGTATACACATGCATATAGGGCTAAGTATAGTTACCCTCACAAGATAAGAATGGTATGATCCCCCATCCATACACTTTCTATATTCAAATGAGGTTTACGTCCGTCCTCGATACAAATTTGGAAATTATATTTTAAATCTTCCAAAAGCAAGAATTCCATCTAGTATTGGATTTTTTGTACAATTTCTGATTACTAAATCGGCATCGGATTCGCCTCCGTTCTGTAGATATCCTGGAGAATGGAGCGGATGAGCGTGACGTCGAGAATAAACTCGTGCTGCTGTTGGGTTACGACAAGTTCGAATTTGTGAAGCTAGTCAGGAAAAACAGATTGTCTGTACTATACTGTCTCAAACGCGCCAGTGCCGAGGTATGTGGTCATGTTGCTCAGCCCGGGCTATGAGTACTAGGTATAACGTTATGATTGGATATGTAGGTATATACATACCCAGATGAGGTTTTACGCATGCGCTTACATACATACATACATACATAAATACATACATACATACATACATACATAAATACATACATACATACATACATACATGCATGCATACACAGAGGTGTCTATATATTTAACGGAATACGCAAGTAATTAGAAACAATTAGTTTAGGAAGGGTTCTCAAGGTTCTTAAAATAAAAAACGGCCAACATGTGTTAATATCTTGGTGAACCATACATGGCTAAATCTTAAAACTAGGTCAGTCTGACATATGCACGAGTCGATACTGTCAACTCGAAGACGATTGTACGCACACGCGCAAGTATACATACGCGAAGCATACGCTCATACTCATCTGCTCTCTATCCTAAATAGACGGAAGAGGACAAGGTGGTGATTGAGAAAACCATGCGGTCTATGCCAGAACTATCGCAAGTGGTGGACCTGCTACTGGGAGATGCAGTGGGTAGCCAGCAGTTACAGAAGGGCCGCACCCGTCGCAATGGTATGAGCACGTGCACACATCGGGGCTGTGTATCTGTGCGACTGTGAATACGGTTGCAGGGTTCTGGGTGACTTTGGATATGTGCAGTATGTGCCATTGGGGTTGGGGGTAATGTACTTTTGTGTGATTATAGGCGGTGTTTGTGTGTTCGGTTATGTTTGCATTGCTGTGATGTGTCTGTGTATTCCGGACTGTGTGTTGTGTGTGCTTCATTGTTTAACGTAGGTACCATGTGTCTGTCTGTGTATCTGGGTCGTTGCGGTGCGTGTGGATCGTCTAGGTAAAGGTGCGATTTCTCTGTGTATCTATGTACCCGTGTTTGTGTGAGGATTGGGAGTTTTGTGGTTCTGTATATCTTTGTATCTCGGTTTATGTGCAATTTGCGTACCCTGTGTAATTTTGGTTTTGAGTTGGTTTGGCTCCATTCACGCACCCCTAGGTCATTCGTAGGTCTAATTCATAACCTGGTTATGGAATCATGGAAATCCCAATAACTTCACTGTTTGAAATCGAGAGTTTGAGTGCACGTTTGTAGGTTTGGTATGTGCATGCAGCGGCTAATGGTCTATACTCGACTTTTGGTTGTCAGCTCGTTTGGATGCGGAGTTGGAGGAGATGGACGTTGATTCTGGAAACAGCAATGCGCTTTCGGGAGCGCATAACATTGACATTCAGGACCTTGTTTTGGATCAGGGTGGTCACTTTATGGCCAACAAAAAGGTATGTACTGACTCATATATGGTGCATCGGTACACCTTGGTCTGTGGGCCTGCACTTGTATGTATGTGTTGTACTGGTATAGATCTTAGTCTGTGGACCTGTGATTGTATGTATGTGTTGCTATTGTTCCACCGCTATGACAATGAATACATGTATGTTTATGTGTATTATCATCTCATAGCCACACATATAAGCAATCTGTGCTCGTATCTCACAAATCCTTAAGTGTGCAACGCATATCTTTGTATCTAACAGTAACAGTAATATTGCTCTACGCCAGTGAGCGTAAGAGAAACGGGCGAATCCTCTTGCACCTCTATCTCTAGACCATTTTACATATATAAGGCATCTGTGTGTGTGCTGCAATTGTATCAATTATATTATCTTATTTCTTCTCAGTATACGCATCAATAAACAGACTAAACTGCCTGAGAGATCTTAGTGAGAAAGATTCTCGCGTCTACTTCCGGATATATGTATACGTCTTTCTATCCTTGCTAACCCCGTTTCTAAATCACTATGCCCCGACTCAAAATAGGTTGAATTACCCGAAGGGTCTGTGAAGAAGACTCGCAAAGGGTACGAAGAGATACACATCCCGGCCGCCCAGGCCAAGCCATACGCTACCAACGAGAAGCTTATTAACATCAAAGACATGCCAGAGTACACACACGCCGCGTTCGGCCACTTCAAGACGCTCAACAGAATACAAAGCAGGCTGTACAACGCATGCATACACTCCGACGAGAATGTGCTGCTGTGTGCGCCAACGGGAGCTGGAAAGACGAACGTAGCCATGATGACGGTGCTCAGAGAAATTGGCAAACATCAGCTGCCCGATGGTATGTCCCATTACTACACTTGTGAACTCACTTCGTGCTGCACCTACGCACCCGACGATGACATCTGTGCACTTCCGACTTGGTCTGAAAATCTTATTCATGCATCTGCATACTTCCTGTTGTGACGGCAAACCCTACTATTTCATTTGTTTGCTGCTGTTTTCAACTTTAATATATATTTGTTCACTTCCGGCTTAACCCATTTTTGTACATCTGCCTTCGTCTCAGCCCCCTAATGAGGCATAGGTGTACGCCTTTCTCCACACCATGTGAATCGTATACGATCTTGATACCTATAACTGTACTACGTCACATGTGAGCTTGTTACCTATAGCTGTACTACGTGTTGTGTGTGGGTGTCAAGGGTTCTGTTTAATCGGAACAGTGGTGCGCTGTCACAGTTCTCTCACCCGTATACCTTCCCTGTCTCGTCATGACAAGCATGTACGCTCTGGACCCCTTCCAATGCACTGACACACGCCCGAATTTTTTTATTCTGCACACTACCATAGGTACATTTAATTCACGGCTCTCTTTCTTATCTAAACCCTAAACCGCTATACGGAGGTGTTCGTCTACTCCAGTCATCACACACATCGCAAACATATGCCATTCGAGTTTATTAACACACAGCCGAATCCATCCACTCGCCACAACACCCCAGGCATCTACCATCCCTCCATCACACACATTCACAATCTGAATACCCTCCCGTTTACTGACACACACCCACATCCTGTCTCCCCCACCCCGACTATTACAGGCACATACAACCTGGACGCGTTCAAGGTGGTGTACATAGCTCCCATGAAGTCGCTGGTGTCTGAGATGGTCGGTAACTTCACCAAGCGACTGAAGGCGTACGGCGTGACTGTAGGCGAGCTCACGGGTGACTCGCAGATGAGCAAGGAACAGATAGCCGCAACGCAGGTGATTGTTTGCACACCCGAGAAGTGGGATATCGTCACGCGCAAAGGTGGCGACAGGAGTGTGGCGTCGCTGGTACGGTTGGTGATCATAGACGAGATACATCTGCTGCACGACACCCGCGGGGCTGTGTTGGAGTGTATTGTGGCACGCACACTGCGCACGATTGAGGCGACGCAGCAGTTCACGCGCCTGGTGGGCCTGTCGGCCACCCTGCCCAATTACGAGGATGTGGCGACGTTCCTGCGAGTGGACCCGGCAAAGGTGTGTCTATAAGTCTATTTATATATATATATATATGGTGTGTGTGTCTGTGTATGTATGTATGTATGTATGTATGTACTTTTTATATATATCGTGCGTATGCGTTAATACCAAAGTGTATCTGGGCTACTCTCCTCATGTACACACGCCTAGTTCGCCTAGGATTTTTCATCTCCTACAGAAGTTTCCATCTGTTTCTGCAGGACATGTGCAACACATGAAATATTGAACCTGTGTTGACCCCTAAACTATATTCATACATCAGTCTGCAGCAATCTTGAATTGTATACTCATTCTGTTCACCCGTAATCGCTATGTCCTTTTATTAGGGCCTGTTCTACTTCGACAACAGCTTCCGTCCGGTTCCGCTAAACCAGCAGTACATTGGCATCACTGAGAAGAAAGCGCTCAAGCGATTCCAGGTTGCCAACGAAATCTGTTATACCAAAGTCATGGAGTACGCCGGCAAGGAACAGATCCTGATCTTCGTCCACTCTCGAAAGGAAACCGGAAATGTACGTGGAATAATATATATATATATATATGTGTGTGTGTGTGTATGTATATGTGTAAATGTATATGTATGTATATATATATATAGGTATATTTATCTAGTTTATTCTCCGCTAGCTGTACGAGACATGCGTTCTGCCGAACGCACGGTATCACATCGGATGTGTGTCGGATTGTAAATTATTGAACTTTTTTGTACGAATCTGTATATATATGTACATACCGATGGAGTATACCATATTCATATGTATATTTATATTGCTGCTCATTAATTATTTGTTAACCAAATCTTTATAGACTGCCCGGGCTGTACGAGACATGTGTTTGTCCGAAGACACGATTTCGAAGTTCTTGCGCGAGGATAGTGCGTCGCACGAGATTTTAAGATCAGAAACCGAAAACACAAAGAATATGGAGTTGAAGGATCTGCTACCATACGGATTTGCCATCCATCACGCAGGTATTCCATATACAGAAAAAAGGGAAGACACCTCTGTGTGTGATGTATGTGCCTATATATCCGGATTCACACCTGTCGAGTATATGAATATCGTGCCTCTTCTTATAGTATGCCGTATATTTGTGTGTAATTGGTCTCTTGAATATAATACATATATATATATATGTGTGTGTGTGTGTAGATATATATATATATATATATATGTGTGTGTGTGTAGTGATATATATATATATGTATGTATGTATATATATATATATATATATTGCGTCCTACTCAATCAAAATGTTTCTACATCCCACAGGTATGTCCCGAGTGGACCGCACACTCGTCGAAGATCTCTTCGCGGACAAGCACATCCAGGTGCTCGTATCCACCTCCACCCTGGCGTGGGGTGTCAATTTGCCCGCACACACTGTGATCATCAAGGGTACGCAGGTATACTCTCCTGAGGAGGGTCGATGGGTAGAGTTGTCGTTCTTGGATGTGCTGCAGATGTTTGGGCGTGCGGGTAGACCCCAGTTCGATAGTGTGGGAGAGGCGATTATGATCACATCCCACCAGGAGCTGTACTTCTACCTGAGTCTGCTGAATCAGCAATTGCCCGTCGAATCGCAATTGATTGGCCATCTGGCAGATGCGCTTAATGCAGAGGTAAGTTAGTTGTATTTGTGTATATAGTCTGTGTGCATAAATTTAACATCGGCACAGGTTAAACGGGTTCAAAGGCTCGTACCTTCTTCGTTATATATTTGTACGTAGAGGTAGTTTTATCAGTCTCTAGATGAAATGTGCAGTGTACTACACATACGATGGAATTGCCTTATGAATATGCCTCCCAGACTCATTATGTTGTAGGTTGTATCCATAATACCCAGGAAGCTTTTCACTGATTCGAATAAACCATACATTCAGACTCATTTTTACTTTTACACTATGCATCTGGGTTGTCCGCACATCCCCATAACCAGGTTGTATTGGATAGTATCCAGAACGCCCGGGAAGCCACCACCTGGCTGGGATACACATATCTGTATGTGCGCATGCTACGCTCGCCCCAGGTGTACGGACTGTCGGTCGACGAGGTTGAGGCAGATCCCACTCTGCAAGGAAGGAGAGCCGATCTTATCCACACGGCAGCTACGTTGTTGCAGAAGGATGGGCTAATGAAATACGATCGCAAGAGTGGACAGATGCAGGTGCGTGTGCGTGTGCGCGTGCTTGTGTATTTGTTGGTGTATGTATGTGTGTGCATGTGTGCGTTTAAATGTATGGGCTATCGGTCAACGTGGTTGATACTGGTCCCACTCTGCAATGAAGATCTACACGAAAGCTACGTACCCGCGTGTCTGATGCGCATCTATCGTTCTAGAGCTAAAATGCACTCTAACTCACCGCCATGTACCGAACTTCCATCATTGTCCAACTTCCTCCAGGCCACCGATTTGGGCCGGGTAGCGTCGCACTACTACATCACGCACTCGTCCATGGCCACATACAACCAGCTGCTCAAGCCTAACCTCAGTGACATTGAGCTGTTCCGTGTGTTTGCGCTGTCGGCGGAGTTTAAGAACATCTCCGTGCGCGAAGAAGAGAAGCTCGAGCTCAGCAAACTGCTGGAGCGAGTGCCCATCCCGGTCAAGGAGAGCATTGAGGAACCCAGTGCAAAGGTGTGTGTTATAGCTTATGAATACACCTGACACGTATACTTGTGGGTATGTTTTGTCCTAGAGAGTATTGAGGAACCCAGTGCGAAGGCGTGTGTTATAGCTTACGAATATACCTGACACGTATACTTGTGGGTATGTTTTGTCCTAGAGAGCATTGAGGAACCCAGTGCGAAGGTGTGTGTTGTAGCTTATGAATACACCTGACATGTATACTTGTGGGTATGTTTCGTCCTAGAGAGCATTGAGGAACCCAGTGCGAAGGTGTGTGTTGTAGCTTATGAATACACCTGACATCTGTACTTGAGGGTATCCATACACTGCAATATACTCAGTCAGTTCCAATGTATCTGCCCCCCCGCCGCCTCAGGTGAATGTGCTTCTGCAAGCCTTCATCTCACAGCTGTCGCTGGATGGATTTGCCCTGGTCAGTGACATGGTCTACATCACCCAGAGCGCCGGTCGGCTGTTCCGTGCACTGTACGAGATCATTCTGCGCAAGAACTGGGCTGGTTTGGCAGAGAAGGTGTGTTTCATAGTAGTCTCCATGCACATATACATATCATATACATACACATAAGGTTTGTGGTCTTGGTATGTGTGTAGCTTTAGCAGCATGGGTGTAGAAATCCACTAGATTTATTTTTCATTACTAGATGCACTCACTTGTATCCAACTATGTACACACATAATTACACATAATTATAACATTATATGGAACGGTATATCTTTGTATATGCTCGGATTGGTTTTCAAATATCGATCCCCTCATCGCACTAGCAGGTGCTTGCCCTGTAGCGGATGGTGGAAACTTGTGTATAACAGACATGATCACATCCAGCTTCAGTCTACAGATATACGCATAAATATGTAAGCATATCCCTATATGCATGCCTATGTATATACTATATATATATCTGAATGCATTGTATCCAAATATGCACACATGTATAATATATATATATATATCTAAATACATCATTCATCGTGAACAATCTTCCTCTTACAACGCTTCTAGGCGCTTGCCCTGTGTAAGATGGTCGACAAGCGCATGTGGCAGACCATGACCCCTCTGCGACAGTTTGCGAAGATCCCATTAGACGTTATAAAGCGCATTGAGCAGAAGGATCTGGAATGGGACCGATTCTTAGATTTGAGTCACCTGGAATTAGGAGAGCTGATCCGAATTCCCAAACTGGGTAAGGCCCGAGCCAGGGAGTTGTTCCAGATACATATACAGCATCCCAGCGTGTTATCACTGACATTCGAGTTTCTGTCCTCAAGTGTAGCGTATGGTTTGATTTTTCTTTTGCGTTGCATGTGATACAACCCACAAGTACATGCGTTGTTGTTGTGTGTCTAGTATTTGAGTCAGTGGCTTTTCCCACCCAGTCATACCACTCCACAGATACGAGTTTATGTCTTCAATACGTAGCCTGCCTAGATCGCATGGCCTTATCTCTCGGTAGAACAACCACACATACGTGCATCATGCGCCAAATGCTCATTGTAGTCGTCTCGTACTCCCTTTCTGATCCCCGTTTCTGTCAGGTAAAACAATCCATAAATCCGTGCACTGTCTACCAAAGTGCTGATTTTCCTCCGTGTACTATCCTCTATCCTTGGCGTACCCCTCTATTTATTCTCTCAGGTAAAACAATTCACAAATACGTGCACTGTCTGCCAAAGGTCGAGTTAACGGCCCACGTACAGCCCATCACCCACAGCTCTCTCAGGGTGGAGCTGACCATCACACCCGATTTCATTTGGGATGACAAGATACACGGAACAAGCGAGAGGTATGTGTATAGTTATATAGTACATTGCAAGAGGGACACTGTGCAATCCCACAGTGAAGTTTGGATATACTTCAATGTATGAATGACAATACAGAGGTACATCGTTCTTGAGGTACTTATATATTTATATATATATATGTGTGTGTGTGTGTGTATGTTGTGATACTGCTAACTAACCCAGCACCTAAGTCAGAACTCTAATACACAAGGGCAAGTGCCAGATAGCTAATGTCTTTAATTATCGAATTATAAGATAGTGCTCTACTGGCTCTGGCGTGAAATTGTTCCCTGTATCAGAGTTCTGACTTGAGTTCTAGGTCAGTTAGCAGTATCACAACCGCTAGATCCGTGGGTGGGATTCCTTGGTTGACGGAAAATTTTATGACAAAGTTGAGCGGCATGGCTGTGGGTAGGTATGCTACCTGTTATAGGAGAGGCCGAGTGGGGTCCCGGACAGGGCACGCAGGTGTATGGTCCAAGGCATTGTGCCGCACAGCATGCAGCGACTGACAGTATCACGCCGATGCCTAGGGGATTGGCACCCAATGGGTCCAGGTTTGTGATATCCACAGTTAGGCAAGTTGGCCTATCAACTTGCCTAACTGTAGATATCACAATATTTATATATATATTGATATATCGATATGCATGTTTTTATCCATATACACGCATATATATCCATATGAACGCATTTTTATTATTAATTAAGCACTCATATATATCTATATACACCCTCGCATAAACTGCCTTCAGCTTCTGGATCTGGGTAACGGATACCGATGGCGAGCACATCCTGCACCAAGAAGCCTTCCTGCTGAAGCAGCGCTACGCCCAAGACGACCACGTGGTGTCGTTCTTTGTGCCTGTGTTCGATCCGCTGGCCCCGCAGTATTTCATACATGTGGTAAGTTTCAGTATTTCATATATGTGGTAAGTCTCAGTGTTTCAACTGAGTCTTTAAGTTTAGTTATAGTACTGAGTCTTTAAGCTTAGTTATACTTTTGAGTCCTAAAGTTTAGTTGTAGTACTGAGTCTCGTACGTTTAGTTGTAGTACTGAGTCTTTAAGTATAGTTATAGTACTGAGTCTTAAAGTTTAGTTCTAGTACTGAGTCTTTAATGATGTGTATTAGTTTTGATGGACTCGAGTGTGTCGAGTGCCTCATACATCCGTGGCGAAATCGGTGGTGGTGTCACCTATGTGTATATGGGATTACGTGAAGATGCGCGCATATATTGCATTCACGCGTAGAAATGAATGGTTGGTCAATGCGCTTCGTGTATGCGTATGACAGGTGTCTGACCGACGGCTTGGTTCAATCGGTAATTTACCGAGGTCCTACTTCACTCATCCTGCCTGAACGCACACCCCCGAGTACCGCACTTCCAGCCACATCCGCCAGTCTTTTCATTTATACGACATTTTCCTTGATGTACACGACAGGTGTCCGACAGATGGCTTGGTACTACCAGTATCCTTCCGGTATCCTTCCGTTCACTCATCCTGCCTGAACGCACACCCCCAAGCACCGAACTTCTGGATCTGCAGGCGCTGCCCGTGTCGGCGTTGAGGGACAAGTCCTTTATTGCCCAGTACAAGTTCCAGTATTTCAACCCCATCCAGACGCAGGTGAGTTGTTGTTGTTGTTTTTTATGATACAAAGCGGAGAGAGTCACACTCCTCGGGTGTGGGCGGTAGGGTTTATTTTTGTTTGTGGTGCACGCCTTTCATTGTACCACAGGGCTTGCCACAGTACCGTTCCATACAGACGCTGCCTGTGCCACGGACTCACTAGTCGGCTGACGGCTAGATGCGTACCGACAGACGCCTACAGCTATGTACAACTGTGATATATACGTAAACGTATTCACCAATGTGTGTGCAGATACAAGTGCACCTGCATATCTACAGTGTGTGCGGATACAAGTGTACCTGCATATCTACAGTGTGTGCAAATACAAGTGTACCTGCATATCTACAGTGTGTGCGGATACAAGTGTACCTGCAAATCTACAGTGTGTGCAGATGCAAGTGTACCTGCATATCTACCTATCGTATGTGGTCAAACCGTCCATACCCCCGTTGTCCCACCTCACCGTCTTCGTATACGTATACGTATTCTCATACTCCTACCCCCTACCCGCCCCCAGTTGTTCAACATCCTGTTCAACACAGACGACAACGTCCTTCTGGGTGCGCCGCACGGCAGTGGTAAAACCGTATGCGCCGAGTTTGCGCTCTTCCGTATGATTATGAACAATCCCACGGGTAGGTGTGTGTATATCGCACCCATTGAGGACCTAGCACAGGCCCGGTACAACGATTGGCACAAGCGCTTTGGGCAGGATGGTCTGGGTCTGGAGGTGGCGTTGCTGACCGGCGAGACGTCTACGGATGTCAAGCTTTTAGGTGAGTGCCTAATGTTAGATATGGTAATGTATTTATGTATAATGTACTCCCCGTGATGAATGCAAGATCGCCCCTTACCTGTGATTGTGTGCACACACTCAAACTCGTACTTACATACCTACATCTCCACATCTATCATACATACATACATCTCCACATCTATCTTACATACATACATCTCCACATCTATCTTACATACATACATCTCCACATCTATCTTACATACTTACATCTCCACATCTATCTTACATACATACATCTCCACATCTATCTTACATACATACATCCCCACATCTATCTTACATACATACATCTCCACATCTATCTTACATACATACATCTCCACATCTATCTTACATACATACATCTCCACATCTATCTTACATACATACATCTCCACATCTATCTTACATACATACATCTCCACATCTATCTTACATACATACATCTACACATCTATCTTACGTACATATATCCCCACATCTATCAGGTAAAAGCAATGTAATCATCGCCACAGCCGAGCACTGGGACATGATCTCACGCCGTTGGAAGTCGCGTAAGAATGTGCAGACGGTGTGTTTGTTCATCATCGAGGGCTTGCACATGATGGGTGGCAACGAAGGACCTGTTCTTGAAGTGATCTGCTCCCGTATGCGATACATGAGCACGCAAACGAGCAATGCTCTGAGGATTGTGGTTTTGTCGGCTAGTTTGGGTCCGGGTATGTATTATATTGGACTATGCTGTGGCCAGTCTGTGTATTTGCTCTGATGGTGGCATGGGAATACTGCAATGTGTGGCGTTTTGGTGACGTTGTTTTCTTTTCTTTCTTTTTTTTCTTTCTTCTTTCTTCTTTCTTTTTGCTTGTTAAGGTGTGTGCTCGAATGTGTTGCTTTTGCGCACGCAAATCAGCAGTGCTTGTACAGTTTTCTGTGCTATAGTTCGAAGTCTGTATGGTATTGTATAGTGATATCATCTCACGTGAAGTGTACCCACATATGAAAACAGTACGTATACACATATGCATATATACATAGATAAGCTTACCCTCACCCATACACACACACATCCACGTCTTGCAGGTAAGGACATTGCTTCGTGGCTGGGTGTATCCACCGGCGGTTACTTCAACTTCCACCCCCGTGTGCGCCCAACACCACTCGAACTGCATGTGCAAGGATTCAACATCGCTCACACACAGTCACGTCTCAGTGCCATGGCCAAGCCCGTCTATCAGAACATCATGCGCTACGCAGCGAGAGATGCGGCAATTGTATTCACCCCCACGAGAAAGGTGAGGGTGTTGTGTGACAGTGTGTGTTTCAACCCGCACGCGTATATGAATGTGGGTGGGTGGGTGTGGGTGTGTCGCGTACACTGTTTCTATATCCCACACACATAGTCGCGTCAAAGTGCCATGGCCAGGCTTATGTATCAGAATGTGATACGATACGCAGCGGGGATGTGACTAGCATACACACGAACAAGGTTAAGGCTTCCCACACCAGTAGGCATACTTGTGCGATAGGTGTACACATTTTCAGGTGCACAACCCTGCATGTATCATACTCCAACGAGCACATTGGACAAGTCCCGGCCTTGGGTCTTTTTCTATACTCAGCTCTCGACAATTTTCCTCCATACTTGTATATATATATATATATATACTTATACCCGCTAGTCTAGCACTGTATAATTAAATTTCCTTTATTGTCCACCATTCACAGACCGCGCAAATCACAGCCCTGGATCTGCTGACCTTCAGCTCTGGCGACGGGAGACCGTCCCAGTTCCTGAAGATCGCCGAAGAGGAACTAGAAGAGTATCTCAAACCTGTACGTGATAAGTCACTCAGAGAGTGTCTCACGCACGGAGTTGCTTTCTATCACGAAGGCCTGTCAAAGGCTGAGAGAAAGGCCGTAGAGGATCTGTTTAAGGCGGGGGCCATACAAGTGATAGTGTGCACACGCGATGTGTGCTACAGTCTCAACTGTATAGCCAGTCTGGTCATTGTGATGGACACGCAGACCTATGATGGTAAGTGTATGCATTCGAAGTGTGTGTATACCCGATGTGTGTGTGTATATGCCAACTGTATGTTTTTATATGAGCGTATGTGTGTACTTGCCTAGTGTCACGAAGGTCTGACAGAGCCCAAGACAATGACCATGGAATATTTATTTTAGTCTGAGGCGATACATGTGTTTGCGTGCACACGCTATATGTGATACAGCCCCAACTGTTGCGGTCAGTCTGGCCGTTGTGATGGATATGCAGATCTACGATGGTAATTGCGCGATTTTGACTGGGGTTTTTTTTGTTGTTGTTTATATGATATTAGTGGTTTTGAATCGCATGTGTGTGTGTGGGTTGGTGATACCATATGCTATCGCTTCGGCATTTTCCGTCACGCACAAAGCGCACCAGCACATCATCCTAGTTAGTTGTACGACAAGTGTTGGGAACTGAATTCTGTCCACATACATACACGCCTTCCTTCTTGTAGCCTGATATTGCAACCCAATACCTCATTCCTATCCCACCTTACCTTTCCTGGCCCACCCTCCTCCGTTTGGCATCACGCACACAGGCAAAACGCACCAGTACGTCAACTACCCGACCTCGGACGTGCTACAGATGGCCGGCCTCGCCAACACCTCTGTCAACGAACGCGCATCCGACCCGTCCGCTCAGGCCAATGCCATTTGTCGCTGTGTGGTGCTGTGTCAGAACAGCAAGAAAGAGATCTACAAGAAGTTCATGTACGAGCCACTGCCGGTGGAGTCGCATCTGGACCATCGCCTGCACGATCACATGTGTGCCGAGGTGGTGACCAAGACGGTTGAGAACAAGCAGGATGCGGTTGACTACTTGACGTGGACGTACTTCTACCGACGCATCACGCACAATGCGAACTACTATAATTTGATAGGTGAGTGGGTGTGGGTAAGGGTGACTTCTGGACTTATGTGAGAGATTGGTGCGTGAGGGGGAGTGACTTTGGTGCGTGGCTATCCAGAGATAGGTGAATGGGCTCGTGTTCTTGGGTTGTACATACATATATATATATTTATGATGTTATACTATTATTATATTACTGTGTTATTGTATTATTTATGTAAGTGTTCGTATATATATATTCATATATATATATATGTGTGTGTGTTTGTGTTTGTGTGTGTATGTCTATATATATATATATATATATAATATTCAATATTTTATATTTATTTATATATATATATAAACTCCTCTCGCGATTCTACCTGTAGTTGAATAAGGGCTAAAACATTCAATCTCTTCTTTCATCAATACCAATTTTCAGGCACATCGCACAGACATGTGTCCGATCACCTGTCAGAATTGATTGAGAATACGCTCACGGATTTGGAACAGTCGCGCTGCATAGCCATTGAAGACGACATGGACGTTGCACCGCTCAACCTGGGCATGATTGCCTCGTACTACTACATGGACTACACAACTATCGAGCTGTTCTCTATGTCGGTATGCGACCTTGCACTTTTACACGCCTTTATATATATGTGTATGTATGTGCATGTATGTATTTATATATATATATATATGGTTGTTTGGTGTGGTGTGGTGTTGTTTGACGCGTGTATTCGCGGTAGTCTGTGCGTGTTGCGATATGTCTGCGTATTTTTGGCGTAAAGAGTGATGTGGACGTTGAATAACTCACCTGGGCTGGTCGCCATCTACTACTATTCGACTCGAGGTTTGTCTGGTCGCTATGTGACTGATATTTCTTCATTTAGTGACTATTACCTCCATTCGCACTACTATTGCTACAATGTTTGTGTTGTTGTACTGTTATTGCGTATGAAAGCTACAGAGGTTACTTACGTCGCTGGGTGACTGATGTTGTTTCTTGAAGGGCAGATATATTCACTTCTTGTACTGCAATGGCTTTGTTTTTATGGTCTCTGTTACTGTACATGCAAGTTACCACCAGGCCCCGAGGAATGAAACTGTATTTCTTCACCCAAACGTACAGAGTTCGGATACAATTTACAGTAGTATTAGTATATGTTTTACTTAAAGTTTTACGCAATCTTACATTTGTAGATACTTCTACACAAATAACAACAAACATGTTTATAAGGTTTGGCATTAAAGTTGTATCTAACGTCATTTGGTTTTCTCAACTGCAGCTGACACAAAAGACCAAGCTGAAGGGTCTGATCGAGATTCTTTCAAATGCTTCGGAATTCAACACAGTCAATGTTCGGTACAGAGAAGAGCGGGTTCTGAAGGCGCTCGCCGACAGGTGTGTGCACAAAACATGCCCAGTATATGTCCATATGAAATATATGTATATATCTGTGTGTGTGATGTAGTTAATATTTTGGCACACTTAAACCGCCCACAATCCCACTATATTTTATGCCTGTTTTTCAATATGTGTATCTGACTTTTTGATATTCTATATTTTTACATGTACACAAACACATATATATATATATATATATATATTTGACTCCACTTTCAATTCTTCGTACGATACCAGGATGCCTATCAAACTCCCAGACGCTCAGTACAACGATCCCCACGCCAAGGCACACGTGCTGTTGCAGGCGCACTTCTCGCGCACGCAGCTGTCCGCAGAGTTACAGTCCGACCTTAACACCATGCTGGTGACGAGTGTGAGTCTGTTGCATGCCTGTGTGGATGTGCTCAGTTCACAAGGTATGTACACATCGACTACTTACACATGTGATGAGAGTGTATCTGTAGTATATGCGTAGCATACATAGGATGACAGTCAAAAGATGGGTTCAGTACAATATACGTTTATGAACATCAATAACCACTCGGATCACTTTCGGTCTCTGTCGGCGAATTTCTTATCGCGACCTCATACACATATCTCAACTCGAATGTGGGTGTGTTTTGGGTTTGGCATACACGAGTGTGTCCGCATATTTCTGATAACAGGATGGCCACCACTCAGCTGCTTCACTTCGCCTTGTGTGTTATTCAACGTACCGCTTGATTTCTTTTGTTCTCATGTATCGGTTTTGTCGTTATCATCTGTTCGTTCGCACTAGGTTGGCTCAAACCCGCCCTCGCTACCATGGAGTTGTGTCAGATGATTGTACAGGCCATGTGGAACAAGGACAATACACTCAAGCAGATACCGCACTTTACGCCCGAGCTCATCAAGAAGTGCGAAGAGAAGGAAATTGAGTCACCATTCGATGTGTAAGTCGTATATATTCACTGCGGTTTACTATACACGTGCACATACTTCAGGTTTCAGAGTGTCATATTAGCTACATCATATATAGATATGCAAGTGTATGGCGTTACCTGCAGGTGTTCAAGCACGTACAACCATACAACTCGATTCTACTCTCCTCTTTTTCAGTAGCATGCATAGTGTGTTTCTATACGCTTTCGCGGGCTGCCCTGAGTTGAGCAATGGCTGCACAACGATCGTGAAGTATCGTAATACATCCCCGAGTTCTGTGGAGAGTTTTTTACCCGTGAGTAATCCCACCAATCAAATATACGTCGGCCTGCTTTCTATCTAGTCTGCATGTGCCAACTAGTTTACGTCTCTGATCTACGGTTTACGCTCCTGGTCTGTATGCCAATTTACGACTCCTCGGTGAGTAGTCCCCGCATATCTCCGATTCGTGAAAGATCATCTGCTCGTACTATTACATGATATGAATTAGCTTGAGGGTGAGAGACAAGCTCCCAGTGCTTTTTCCTTCTTCTTCTGTTCACAAAGTAGAGGTAACCCATCTGCTCACACATTATATGAAACAAAATAGGTTGGAGATGGAAGATAAAGACCGAAATGCTATCTTGAACTTCAACAATAAAGAGATGGCTGCCGTGGCCACGTTCTGCAACAGATACCCGGCAATTGACGTCAACTACGAAGTGGTAAGTTTGGTGCAAATACCACATACCCCAAATGTCCACATGCATGTATTATATATATGTATATATATATATATTTGTGTGTGTACATATGTATCTATGCATTTATGTATGTGTGTGTATATATGTATATGTATACGTAAATATATATATATATATTATATCTATATATACTTATATTATATATAGTATATACTATATTACATAGTATATATTACGATTAACGTTAGTA